GCAAAATCAAAACTAAAAGAGCAATGACACTAAAACAAGTTTATTGTCATTCAGCGATATCCAACTTAACTGATTTTGATTTATGCCATGCACATTTGATGCCATATTGACAAAGATACATGCATTTAGGGGCCGATTACATGGAGCTTTTTCAACCCCGGGGTTGAACTCAGCCCTGTTTACCGGGTTGAAATTTCAGCCCTGTCCGTAATACAAAACTCTATCAAAATCAAACGCGCGATTACATGACAACATTTTCAACCCAGGACTGAGTTCAACCCCGAGGTTGAAATTTCAACCCCGGGGTTGAACTCAGCCCTGGGTTGAAAATTTTGTCATGTAATCGTTTCAACCCAGGGCTGAAATTATCATGAGTTATTCGAGCATGCGTGGTAGTGACTATTTATTACAAGAAAACAAAATAAAGGTTTTTTACTTCCGCGAATCGATGCCGAGAACGTATAGTATAACGTTTTAACTCCGGGCCCGGGGTTGAAATCGTCCATGTAATCGCAAAAAATTTCAACCCGGTTAACAGGGCTGAGTTCAACCCCGGGGTTGAAAATGCTCCATGTAATCGGTCCCTTAAACAGGTGTAAACATTTTTGGAACCGACGAAATTAGCTAAAAATGGCTTATTATATATTAATAGATATAGCCCACAACATGCATTATGTGATATTATTGTATGCGCCGCTAATGGCTGCACTCAAAATAGCTCTTAGAACTTTTTAATATTTCTGGGTTCTGCAAACAATCGAGCTAGTTGCCTTCACAGGGACCTTTTCAAGAAGATTTGGCCATTATATCGCGGAAGGCGTGCTGGAAAATTGGTAAAATTGAGGGAAACTCAACGTCGCTACACAATAAGATCAATTCAACCGAGAGCGCTCAACCGTGCGACAACAACATCGTCCTTTCCAAGTATACTAAGGTGCCACAACCCAGTAAACTGTATTAACATTACCCCAATGACAAAGTCAAATGAGATCAGTAGGAGGAAAGGGTCAGAAAGAATATTTGTGCCAAGCTTTTTGCTCTCTAATGTTCAATCTTTGGCACCAAAAATAGACGAAGTTCAACACTGTATTAGCAATGCAAATTTAGATCTTGCTTGTTTGACTGAGACATGGCTTAAAGACCACATTCAAGACACTGTGGTCGCTATCAATGGCTATAATCTGATTCGTATTGATAGGAGGTCGGCCGATCACGGCGGTGTGTGTATGTACATCAAGAATTCCATCAAATATTCCGTACTTCACGACTTACTTGACCCAGTTTTTGAAGTTCTTTGGGTTAAAATCCAGCCAACTCGTCTCCCAAGAGGAATGAGCACTATTGTTGTGGGAGTGCTTTACGATCCGCCTCGCGCAGACAATGCATCCATGCTTAATTATTTGATTGAAAAACTCACATTAATTGAATCCCAGTACGCCAACAGTGGAGTAATTATGCTCGGCGATTTCAATCATCTTAGACATGTCATTAATAAACTAAACCATATCTTTAACCTGAAACAAATCGTGCCGTTTGCAACCAGAGGTTCCAACAAACTGGACTTAATTCTAACTAACCTGCAGAATTTCTACAATACACCAGTAAAGCGTCCCAAATTCGATCTATCTGATCACGCAAATGTTGAAGTCCAACCAAAACAACGTGTCCAACTTCCAAGAGGGCAGATAACTGTAAAAAAAAAGAGATCTGCGTCCAAGCAGCCGCTTCGCTATGCGGTTGTACCTCCAACAAGTCGACGTACCAAGCCTCCTCGGGACTGTGGAGACCTGCACGGAGAAAGTCTCACTACTTGATACTATCATAAAGACGGGATTAGACTCGGTTCTTCCTCTACGATCCAAAACCATCCATTCAAGCGAACCACCCTGGATGAACCCAACACTTAAGAACTTTATTAAAAGACGCCAGTGCGCATTAGCAAATAGTAATATGGTCACCTTTCGACTTCTGAGAAACCGAGTTAACCGAGAACGAAAAATTTGCCGGGAAAAGTACTATAAAGCTAAGGTCAGTCATTTGAATGAGTGCAAGCCTTCCCTATGGTGGAAGGAGGTTAAAAAGCTAAGCGGCATGACATCTGCCTCAGAAAGGCGGGACGATTCCACCAAGTTGCTACATCAGCTAGGAGCACACGACATGTTAGAACTGGCGGATAACATCAACGATGCCTTTCTATCTCCAATGCGCGACTTCGTGCCACTTCTATCCAACTTCCAGCCAGTACAAGGCCCGGTTAATGACCCTGTGGTGACGTCACTGATAGTTTCATCCTACTCAGTTTATAAGAAATTATCGAGTTTGAACTCCAGCAAAGCACAAGGCCCTGATAATATCCCGGCCTGGTTACTCAAAGAGAACGCTGATCTATTGGCTAACCCTGTTTCAGACATCCTTAACAGCTCCTATCGCGAAGGCTGCCTCCCTCCTTCCTGGAAAACAGCTGACATAGTGCCAATCCCAAAGAAAAACCCACCAAAGGACATAAACAAAGACCTGCGTCCAATTTCACTGACACCAATTATGTCAAAAATTGCGGAAGAATTTGTCGTCGAGGAACATGTGAAACCAGCGATTTTGGCCAAGATCAAGAAAAACCAATTCGGCGCCATCCCCAAGTCCTCCACAACATTTGCTCTTATCACCATGTTCCATAAATGGACAAAAGATATTGACGGAAATGGCGCCACTACAAGAGTTGTCCTCTTCGATTTTCGCAAGGCTTTTGATCTCATCGATCATAATATTCTTGCCACGAAACTCGCGACCTTAAATATCCCTCATAAGGTCGAATGTTGGAATGTTCCTTAAACACCGTAAACAGCGAGTCAAATTGGCGGATGACTGCAAATCAGAATGGAGGGATATTCCAGCAGGTGTTCCACAGGGGACCAAGTTGGGGCCGTGGCTTTTTCTACTAATGATCGATGACATTGACATCGCCAACACTGATATGTGGAAGTTTGTGGACGACACCACTATGTCCGAGTGTGTGGAGGAAGGCAATGCGAGCACGATCCAAAATGCAGTGACTGAGTTCTCAGATAAGGCTCATGCTAACAAGTTCCAAATGAACGAGGCAAAATGTAAAGAGCTCAGGATCTCATTTGCTAGGACCAATCCCCAATTCGATTCGGTGATGGTCAATGAAAAGCCACTGGAGATTGTTCAACACGCACAGCTGCTTGGCCTGAATATATCGAGCGACTTAAAATCGAACTTCCATGTATCAGAAACAACCAAGAAGGCTGCACCTCGTTTCTATTTCTTGAGACAACTCAAAAGAGCAGCCATTCCAACTAAGGAACTTCTGAAATTTTATACTACCTGTATTCGCCCGATCTTTGAATATGCATGCCCAGTTTATCACAACTGGCTACACAAGTACCTATCAGACGACATTGAAAGGCTGCAGAAGAGAGCTCTAAGAATAATCTACCCTTGGATGCCTTACACTGATTCCCTCGAAGAAAGCGGTCTGCCTCGCCTCTTCGAACGCAGGCAGCTCTTGACGTGCAAGTTGTTTAATGAGATCACTCGAGATCAATCCCACAAACTCAGATCCCTACTACCATCTGAAAATAACTGTTCATACCAACTGAGACGTAAAAGGCAACTTAACGTTCCAAGGGCCAAAACTGATCGGTTTATGAATTCTTTTATTGTTAGTAATTGTAAATATTTTTAATCATTAGGTTTCTTAAATTTTTGTAATTGTAAAGTTTTAACACAATTCAGCCATTATCAGCTGTAAAGTCTTTTAAAACTGAATAAATCATCTATCTATCTATCTATCTATCTATCAACTTCAACTTCAACTTTTAATAATAATAATTATAAATTACATATATTTACAGCTAGCCTGTGCACATCCTGTATTACCCTGTAGTACAGGGTAATACAGGATGTGCACAGGCTAATTTACAGCTTGCTCTGCAAATAACTATAGAGTTAATCGAGGCAGGGAAAGTAGGTAGTATTTTAAATATAAGATATAAAGTATCTACAATAGTTATACACATATAATAGAGTGATATATAATATAAAGTAATAAAAAGCAGACTGAGCTTAGGGAAAGTACATTTATTACACCGAGGGAGGGGGATGAAGATGTCTTGAAAAAAGCTCATATTTTTACAGGGCCCCTGTTGAGGTTATCGGTAAATTTCGATGCCCCCCCTCCAAGTTTTTAAAATTTTCAATGCCCCCCCCCCCTCTAGAATTTGGAATCGAAGGAGTACAATCCGGAATTCTCTCTTATCATAGATACAATTTGCAGTTCCTCAAGATGTCTGATATACTCATGCATGTACTTCTCCTCAACAAAACAACCGATCTGCTGCTTCTTTCACCTCACTACCACCAGATGAAATGGCACCGTCTTTAAAACAATTTAAATTGGCTCTAGGGGTGAAATTATCAACAGGTTGTTGTTGTCCATCATTCAGCGTATTCGGAGTCTTGAACACGTTCATATAGTGGCCAGGATTTCCTGGATCAGGGTAATGTGCTGGAACCTTACAGTATGTCGCCCCCACCCAAGTGTCTCCCGGCATCTGTTGCAAATGTCTTTGTATGCCTGTCAAAAATGCATGCAAAAGTGCCATTATGCTTCAATTTCTTTAATTTCCATCCCGTTTGTACGAAATATCCCATAAACATAGAACACATCATTCTTGCAAATCGTATATGCTTTTTGTTTTTGGAACTGCTACTTTTTGGCGCGTAAGTTACTTCACAAACCTGGCGCCAAAAAATTTAAAATAAGCTATAGGTGATTTCATGTATCCATTTAGAAGAGCAGACTAAGGATATCTTAAAACTGAAATCGGTTTCGAATACAACCATCAGGGACGTAGCAAAGCATCTGACGTTTGGGGTGGGCGGGGGGGTGTCAGAGGATTATACGTATTGGCACTCTCATACTAAGTTTTGGGAGAAAAGGGGGGCCTGGGGGTCCTCCCCCAGAAAATTTTTACATT